GGTGGCTCTTGTCGGTCCGCTCGGTCCGCTCCGACCCGGGCCTCCATCGCCGTTTGTTTGTTGTTGCCCTGCCTCAAGCCTGATGCTGATGGCCTCCCCCGGATAGCCTGATGGCTGGAGGGGTCGGCGAGGCACGGCGCGACCGCCACCGCCACCTGACCGCCACCAGGACAGAGAGGCACCGACTCGGACGGGGTGGAAGACGGGTGCTGGGGGGGCTGGGGTCCGGGTAGGCACCCGCGCCGCAGCACCGGCCGCCGGGTTGCCTACCCTTCGGTGGTCGGGCGCCCCCAGAGGGCGGACGCTGCTGGGGAGGCCAGTGAGTGCACGTACCCCGCGCACACCGCGGGCGGCGCGGCCCGCCGAGCAGTACGTACGGCCGAGTGCAACTTGGTTCGTTATTAGTTGGGTTTCCCCGCCGCTCGGGACTGAGGCCGCCGCCGCCGTCGCCACCCATGCATGCAGGACTGCCGGCAGTGTGTTTCAAGCCGACAACACCATCAACATCACACTGCTTGTTCGTAGCGTGCTCGCCAGCAGCCGACCATCCTAAAAGATGCGGCAATTAGAATCATTGTTCCCAGAAATCATTTTGAGAAAAATATAAAAGCTAGCTGACACCTTAAAGTTACTTATATATTCATTATGTTTAGTCAAAAGGTTTTTAAGGTATCATCTGCTAAAAATATCTCGACCTTGGCATCATTGTTTCAAGGTCAAAAAATCTGGCCATTCGATATTAGTGAATCCAGGCTCAGGTTCTCAGTCATTCAGGGGCAGATGGTTCCCGCTCGCATTTGTTTGATTTGGGGGGGGGGGGGAGAGAGTCCTGGGATGCAACAGCAGTAGCTCGACGGAGCTCTAGTTTAAATGTGTTCATCCTGTTCTTTCTTATTCACTCTAGCTTATGAAATCCGACCTTTTCTCGGGGTGGGGAGGGGGAGGGGGACAGGGGTTGCGCCAAATGGGAATAAACATAATTAAAACTTGGTCAGTTATGTTTGTCATATGTTTATTACGCAATATTTACATTTCATTGTCTCTCCTACCAAAGCGTCACCCACCCCACCCCACTCCCCTTCCTCAAAAAAGAAAAAAAATATTATGAAAAATCTATTTCCCAAACCCTCCTCGACATTTGGGGCTTGGCTCAACCTCCTTGGAGCTGCATTCCCACTGATCTGGTGTTTTCGCCTGTTGCAAGTAGGGAACATAAAGGTAAGTAATGGTAATGTAGTCGTATTTTGCCTAATAAATTACTTGACAATAAAGATGGAATCATCCTTACCACAATAGACAGAGCATGGACCCCACTTTTAAGTTCATCAGCCAGTATTTCATTTACAGCACGATGCCTCTAATTTTAAAAAGATAATTTATTATATTGTTTTTGCGGGTTTTCTGTTTATTAACTAGCAAGTCACACTAACCTGGATTAATGGTTTTCCCTCAAATTGTGGAGATACGATTACAACTTTGAAATGGGTTTCTGATCCTTTGGGGACATTGTGCATGTACGATTCATTAAATAGCTCCAGGTGTACAGGCTTCAGGTTTGCCTCCAATTTCCTGTACATAATATCCTCAACCGGTCCATTTCCTTTTAACGATGCACTAGCCATTTTAAAAATTCCTGTTAGCGGCAAATAAAAACACGATTCTGCTTTAAAATGATGTTCCCTCCTGCCCGTAACTTATCAGTAACTAACATAACCTAACAAATAGTAAAAGTTAAAACTAATTAATAGCAGGACATGTCAAAAAAATTGATGGACGGAGAAAAACAGTAAATTCCAACCTGAATTATGAAATCTTCTGAACACTACACTCATTTCAAAGTGTCCAAAGAAATAAAATACTTGCTCTTCAACTCAACTCTTCAGCCGTTTTGTACTTGTTATTGTTGTTGTTTCAAACCATCATCACCACTGCCAGCAGTGCGGAACAAAATAGGTGGTAGTGTGCTAAAAATGACACAAAGTTAAGCTGAGATATTAATAGAAACCTTTCATAATTATCAACATTTCTGTACTGAAAACCTTCAAAAATTTTACAGTGTCGCCCTTACACCCGTCGAGTTGATCATCGTGGACTTTTTGTAAGTTTCGCAGTCTGCTTTCAGATCGTCGTCTGTTAGCGCCGTCTGCTATCTTTGTTTATTTGTTTTGATTGCAATTTTATTGACCAATATCAGGAAATTTGTTATTCTGCCTCTGCCGGTTATTAGGTGGAGCTCTAAAGACGGCGTCTAAGATCCGTTCAGGGCACTTGTCGCTAAAGGAGTCGTTGTGTCAGCATGACATCCCATTACAAGGTGGTCGTTGTGGGGGCCGGTGCTGCCGGCATAGCCGCAGGTACCAAGCTTCTTGAGAAGGGATTCACAGACTTTGTGATTCTTGAGTCCGAATTCAGAATAGGAGGAAGAATTCATACTGTTGCATTTAATGGTATGAACATAAGTAACTGAATCCTTGGTGTACATGAATTTTTTTTCCGTGGTACCTTTACAACTTGTTGTGTTTAGATAATCTGGTTGATCTTGGAGCCCAATATTGTCATGGACAAACCGGCAATGTTGTGTATGAAATGGCTAGCCCTTTCAATATTTTGGAGTCTTCGGTGACTGGAACTAATATGGGGTTTGCTCTATCGAATGGTGAAGAGTTTCCGCGAGAGTTAGCAGAGGGTATGATGACAGTTTGTCTCGAGATAATGGAAGAATCTAAGACACAAAATATAAGCCCCAACGAATGCCTAGGCCAGTACATGACCTCACAGTGAGTTTTCTGCAATTCTAATGATTTGGCCTACTTACTACTACCCATGTCTGTCTAAGCTTTTTTTGTCTTCTAGGTTTGGGAAATATGTAGATGCTGATTGTAAAACACAGAAGCAACGTGATTTGTGTTGGAGCTTCCTGGATTGGTTCCATCGGTTTGAAAATGCTAGTGATGGGTCAGATTCTTGGTTTGAAACATCCCTCTTAGGCAACAGTGAATACAGAGAATGTGAGGGTGATCTCACTCTCTCATGGAAAAATGTTGGTTTTAAACGAATCCTGGATATTATGATGGTAAGGAAACAGTATTCAAAATTTTTTTTTTTGTTCTCTTCTCTCTTTATCTACACTCCTTTCATGTAACTTTGGGTGTTTTACTTCAGATTACTTTCATGTTTCACTTTTGCCTTATTATCCTTGACAGCGGAGATGCCCGAATCCTGCCATGCTTATTAGGTTGGAGCCTAAAATACATTTGGGAAAGGAAGTTACAAAGATTCAGTGGGAATGTAATTCTAGCGGCCATATCTTGTTGCATTGCTTAGATGGATCAAAGTATACTGCAGAGAAAGTCCTCCTGACTGTCTCACTGGGGGTGCTAAAAGAACAATCTGGTCATCTTTTTGAGCCAGAGTTACCAGAGGCAAAACTAACTGTCATAAGAGTAAGTAAATTTAAAATGAAACATTGAATTACTGTCGGCCATTTACTTTGTATTTAGAACTTAAGAGGTGCACTCTTTTTCCACAGGGCCTATCCATGGGTACAGTGAATAAAATCTTGCTGAAATTTACTGAAATTTGGTGGCCGAAAGACATAGCTGGGTTCAGTTTTATTTGGACACAAGCTGACACAGCAGAATTTAAGGAGAATCTTTCAGAAGATAGTGTAAGTAGGTCACTAAGTAATTCATCACTATTGCCTCAACTAGACCTTTGAACATTGCCCTTTGTTTGTTTCCATAGAACAAAAAGTGGCTTTTAGATGTATTTGGGTTCTACCAATATCACAGCCAGCCGGGTGTATTATGTGGCTGGGTTGTCGGAGAATCTGCCCGCATCATGGAAAATTGTACAATAGATGTGATAAAAGCTGGATGTCAAGAGTTGCTAGAAAGATTTTTGGGTGATACTTATCAAATACCACTTATTCATTCATTGATCAGGTGAGTAGACCTCTAATCTGATGTGTTCTGCTATGTTTAAAACTTTGTGTATCTGCACATTTTACTCTTTTATTTTTAGATCGAGTTGGTATTCAAACCGCAACTTCAGAGGTTCTTATAGTTTCCGTAGCATGGAAAGTGAACAGCTAGGAGCAAAGGCCACTGGACTTGCAGAGCCCGTGTTGAACTCAAAAAATGAGGAGGTGGGTTTGATTGTTTGTTGTTTTCTTTCCAAAAAATGGATCTTGCTGGGTGCGCTATTGAAGATTTTGTCTTTCAAACATTAACTTTGTTTGTAACTTACACGCAGGTGTTGCTGTTCGCTGGAGAAGCCACTCATGAGCATTTCTTCTCGACTGTGCATGGAGCTATAGAGTCTGGGTGGCGAGAAGCAAATCGCATCACAGAACATTACAAAAGTGAAACAGAAGTTGAGAATATTTGAAAGTGGCAGAGAAGTAAATAAGATACATCAAGACCAATTTTTTCACTTTTTATAATTTACTTTTCAAATGATGTAAAACCAATGTGAACATTCTTTAATATAGTTTTGTCAATATAATTAGATTTATAAACAGTTCACAATTTATCTTTAGACTGCTACATTATGCGAAATTTGGGTATGGGGGAAACATTGATGTCGGCAGTTAGCCTTAGTAAAAGTGTTCCTTCTCTTCAGTCATTTTTAAAATTTTGTTTTGTTTTGTATTTCCTTCTATTTAATGTAAGATTTATAATGTACCTTTTTATGCCAAAGATAGTTATAGTATTGTATTTATCTCATTCCAGTTTTTTATTGAATGTATTTATTTAGACTAAGTTATACTGAAAAACCAAAGACAAGCATTATTTGTACTTTTAAAAATTCTTTCTCACGTTTTGTGCCTTCGTAAAGGGGCTAAAACTTTTAGAATCCCTGGTTCAGTCCAGTCGTACCACCTTTCGGTGTACAGCCTCCTTATCAATTAAATGAGTCATGGCCAGTCAAGTACTACAATTTTTCAGGCTTGAGCAACAAAAACCACGAGTGAGCTTTTTTTTTCATTCCACTCACAGCCCTCCCTCCGTTCCCCAGCCAGCCCTACAAACAAAAGTGTTTGAGCGTCGCGCTCGGCTGCTGGAGAGATGCGCCGAGACGTTCACAGAGACGCCTCTCTACTGGTGCCTCGCTGGTAGGGCTCGCCGCCGGTCTCGAAGTAGGAGCGCAGGCTGTGCTCCACGACCATTCATCGCACGTAGCTGAGCGTGGAGCGGAAGCGCCAGAACTGGTAGCCCTGGTAGCCCACCATGACCAGGGCTCCCAGGACGAGCAGGGTGTCTGCAAGACGGAAATAAGGCAGGTAATGCAGCTGTTTTTGGAGTTGTTTTTTTTGCGTGCGCTCCCTTTTTTAGTCACAAAACACGAGAGAGAGGGATGGCCATGCAAAACATTCACCTGGACAGTATGGGCAGCAAATACGTTTTTTCATACACTCAAAATTTGATGGTTTAACTTTGTACAAAAATAAAAGATACCAAAAATCCAATAAATGCCCTGGGCTACTCACAGGCGACGGTCATGCCGGTCCAGTCCTCGCAGAGGTCCCACTGGTAGGGGAAGGCGACGTGCGGCCGCACCCTCGGCTGCACTACCGGCGGCACCAGCACGTCGGTCTTGTCAGCAGGGAGGACCGCGTTGAGGCCATCCTGGAGCTTGACGGTCGTGTCCTGCATGCCCTGTATCTGCATAGTCTCCCTGGCGTAAGTGCAGGGCAGCGCCACCTTGATCCGGGTGGTCTGGTCGGACGCGCTCAGCAGCTGCATGTCCAGCAGCTCCGTCTCGGCCCACAGGCCGGCCACCGAGGCCGAGCCCTCATCGAAGTCCAGCGTCACCATCAGTCCTGCGAGGGTCACCAGGTGAGAGAGGGGCAGCACCATCTTCTGCACCTCGACAGACGGGACCTCCCGGTGGCGCGCGGGGTAGGCCGCCCGCCGCTCCGGCCTGCAGCGCGGCGCGGCCCGCCCCGCCCCTGCTGGGCTGCCGCCTGTGGGCCGGGGGGTAGGCCGCCCGC